GACGAACTCCCTGTCTGAAAAAAAATATTTATCTCACTTTGCTGTTACTCTCAAGTGAAAGCATACATCCGTTTTCTCGCAGTCAATATGAATTACTCCCACTACCCCATCGGAAAGTCAGTGGCTTCAGACTTCTGCTGAAAAGTGACTTCCATAGCCAAGGACTGTCTTGATTATTGTATTTCCAAGGAAGTGAGCATTATCTAACCGAGGCTATGAGGGAAGGCATGCACAAACTTGACGCTCGACCTATCTATTTATCGTCTCAAATTGTCAATAAGTCCAGGTCATTTGCGTTCAAGGGCTTATATTCTATCTACTTATTTGTGAATGCAGGTTGAGAATATCTAAATCCGACTCATCGTCGTATTGGAAGACTATCACAAGACTGAAGACCACAAGAAGCCTTGCTTTTCCAAGAGACACTACAGCGACGATAATGACTGTGACTACGACTATTTTTGCGCTTTAAAGAGAGCCTTCAGCGATTCTGACCATAAGCACCATGACCAACCTCATTCCTCCCCCCAAAACGCAGCACGATCTTCAAAATAATAATTCCCCTTTCATTATCCTATCCATTACCGGCATACTCACTAACCTATCTTCATCCCCATCCCTCTGGGACCTCCGGATTGCCACATTCGCCCTTCAAGAACCAACATCCAGGTTAAGAGGTTCATGGGTTTCCTGGGATTTGCGAAAAACAGAAAAAAGGAAAAAAAATAAATAAATGGCGAAGCTTAGGTTCGTGACCCTGACAATTTTTTTCCCCGTCTCGCCTTCTCACTATTTCTCCAATTAGTCACTTCTCCTCTCCTCATCCTCTAGAAGATTCTCGCACTCCATCCTTCAATGGATCCACCACGGTGTCAAACTCAAGTTCGCCGACACATCTCATATCGCAAGTTTCAAGATCATAGAAGTTCGGGGCATGGTAAAAGATGTGTTCCCAACCTCCCTTTTCAACTAGGCCTTACGTAGCAACTTTCCCCCACCACTCTGCATGCCTAATCATAACAATTCACCTCACCACCGCAACTTCATTACAACAATTGTCTCGCAACTACTAGCTTTTGGCATCATAGAACCTTTCCCAAACTTTATTGTTATCAATCTTGTTTTCACTATAAAAACTCATCTAAAACAAGATTTATTATTGATGTACGCTTTGACAATCTTTTCGTCACATTCATAAATTTTCATTATAAATCAATCGATGACTTAACCGCTCATCTTTTTGGTTCCCCTACCCAAAATTTTCTCACGTGTTTCGATATAAAGAATGATTACTAACACATCCCTATTCATCATCACCGTCCCTATCTCGCTTTTCAATGGAATGAATTTAGCTACCACTTTACAACTCTTTGCTTCGATATCTCTTCCACATGCTCGATATTTACAGTCATAATGCAAGAGGTGATGGCAAAAATTTTCCTTCGTCAAGTTCACGTTGCTTCCTACATAGACGACTCTTCTCTTAGTCACAAAGTTCTTTCAACTCTACTTTGACAAACCTTCAATTACATACGTAGCCCTTCTTCACAACCTCGGGTAGGGGGGGGGACTGTTCAAAGCCTTTCAGAAAGGTAAGGGAGATGATGGATCCACCAGAGAAGGTCGGTAATGAGATCTGAGGAAATAGGTACAGGGGAATCCCAGTTAGGCGGGGAGATTATTTCATAGAGTGATGAGAGGAAGGGGTGAGTGGGCATGAAGCCTCTTTTGAGAGTGACACAAGTTTTCCTGTAAGTTTTCCAATGAATCTGTTGGAGTGGTGAAAGTTGGTCTCTTGAATTAAGTTGAGGAGCTTTACAATCTTGTATTGCGGTACCTTGACTCACAGAGAGTTTTTTACAATCCTATAAACTTTCCGCTTCTTAGCCATCTCACACCCTCATCTCCTTTCATCCAGACAGCCAGACCGTCTCCGCATTACTCTCCCAAATAAAATCCACAGATCAATCATTTAACCCATGGTTGTGAAACATAGCTTCCTTCCTCATAACCTTCGATGCAATCCTCAATCCAGTATGGATACCCAAATCACTCAATACATCAACAGACTCACTGTCAACAATTGATGACAATATCGATTGGGTTTCGCCAACCATATCAAGAAGGATTTTTTTTTTTTAATTGGAGTACGAACCATAATTTTATTCGCTTCCGACTATCGTCATGTTTGACCAACCTTTATCTCAAAGGACGAGTCAGTCAATGCCTATCAAATCGACGCCTTGTCCCTGGACTAAAACTTTTTTCCATCGCAACCTTACAGATGGATATTCCCACCTGCCTCACTCTTCTATCAGATCCTCTAAAAAATATCAATGCAAGTCATGCTCCTTACCTTATCATGCAACCCTCATCCCAACAAACCTCTTGGTACCCCCGCATTCTCACTTTTAATATCATTAAACGATTCACCATCCCTGAATCTAAGTTTTTCTGCCTCCCCAACCCTCGAGTCGGTAACCTCGTCCTTAATCCCGCAATCCTTGGTTTGACAACAATTTTCTTCCTCCCTTAATACATCTTCATTTCCCTTCTTCCACCTACGCCTCATCCCATAACCATAACACATAAACTTCCCTACTTGACTCCAAGTGACCTGCCTCATCATTTTCCATAAACTCCAACTCTCTTCAATTCCGGCTTGCACTCCACCTATGCGGAAACTATGACCACTCTCCCCCTCAAATACTCTCACCTCCCCAAACCACTTTTTTTATCTGCGTGTTAAATTCACCTCCACTCAACGGTCCACTCCCCTGCATCGGCCGAAAAAGATAACCACTCCGCAAATGTAGTCCCAAGCGTCCATAACTACCCAACATTTATGGTAACCAACCCCAAAATATTTCCTCCTCACTCTTCGGATCTTTTAATCTTATCATAAACCTTCCCCCATGGCGATTTGTCTTTGTATATCTCGGCCGCACCACTCCTCACTCAAAATCAATCTCTCTATACTGCAGCCTTAATCCCTCAGGCTCTTCACACCACTGCCAACTCTCCCACAAATACAAGAATGCCCCTCCATCCCGATATGCTTGCGCCTCAGAATACCCTTTCATAACCTTCACCTTCTCTCTTATATAACCAATCACCAGTCTCAACTTCTCCCATTGCATAGGACGTGCAAATTCTTCAACCACCCCCCTCTGCAAGGTATACTCTCGATAGGCTTTCCTAAAGATCCTAACCCTACTACCCTGACATAGATCATTTTCTTAATCTCTCCTTAACAAACGAAAACAACCACAGCATCAAACATCGACGGAGAAACCATCGGAAGCCCTTTAGAGTCTGAAGTTTGACAACTTTCAATCTCAACAAGCCACTGACTGCTTACGAAGGACAATATATCCAAGTCAAAACACGTCACACAACTCCTCTCAACTTCATTGCGGTCAAGCCACTCGTTCAAGGCAAGCAACACCTTCTTCATTCCATTCTTCGACCGCTTCCCGGCTCCGAACTCGCTGGTTATCACACTACTCTATTCAAGATGGGCAGAATAGCTTCCTTTAACCATGGGAGTCGCACGCTTCTGCCTCCAACTGCCATCGCTCACTCGCTCGTTCTACCATTCCCTGCAAGACGACGCTGTCACTTGCGGGACGATGGAGGGATTTGGGACGGACTAGGAGGTGCGCGGGCCCATGGCCCACCTTTCTGACTCGCTTCTGTGTGATCTAGCATCATCTTCGACCTCACCTTTTTCTATTTTATCTAGAACAGTCTTGTGTAACATTATGCCAACGACAGCGACCCCGATTGCAAACAGTTCCAACGGCTCAGTTTCTTCCGTGTGATTTGTACCGCTGAAGGCACTGGTCTCGCCCATATGGAACTGGAACCAGAAATCATAGCCTTACATCGACTACATCTGCAATCCCACTACCATACAACTTCAACCACTAGGACAATTTCCAGACATCTATGGAGGACAAAACAACCACCAAGGATCAACGGAGGCTCGACAAGTGATGTGACACTCACCCAGGTTGAAGAACCGCGTCGCCAGCCCGAGCGGTACCACTGCCTTGTCCTGTGACAGTATAGGTCATAGGAGCCTGGCCTGCGACCACAGCTTGTGAGGATTCCCAAGCAGCACCTTCCAGACCGCGCCCGCTCACAGCACTCGTTGCATACGCGAACCTGTGCAGGAAACACAAGGGTCAGGTCCTACAGAGCTCGAGTCGTTCTCCTCGCCTTTTTCTGGCGAAGTGGAGCCGTCCACCCGGACTAGGAGGTGTGCGGGACTACGGCTCACCTTTTTGACTGGCTTCTGTGCGATCTAGCATCGTCTCCGGCCGCACCTTTCCCCATTTTATCTGGAACAGACGTGTGTAGCAGGCCCCAAACACCCCAACCAATCACAAAACGGCAGGCCTCTGGCTCCCCTTCCAAAAAGGCTGGATGTGTCATCCAACCTTCCGTTTGTGAGATGATCTACAGTTCGCAGTGGTCCCACAGTCACACAGGTAGTGGAAAACTAAATTACATCACACGGGTGCATGTGGGCCGAGACCCTCTGGGCGGCGAGGCCGATAGTGGCGGAAACTAGAGGGGCTAAATCCGCACCGGTTGATTCCAGGGTGGATCTCCCGTCGTTTGGTATTGATAACGGTTCCCCAAGGTGGTTGCATTGCCAGTTGGTTATTCCCCCCGTGCATAAGCCGGTCCGGGGTGCGACCTTTGTTTCCATTTCCATTCTTTCCATTTCCATTGAGTTGCGATTGTTTTGTCTTTTTCTTTCGGCAGTGGTATGGCCGAGAAGCTGGGTCGCGGATGCTGGTGCTGGTGATGGCGCTGAAATCTACAGGAGGGGTCTTGACTCGGTTTCCTCTTTTTGCTTCCTAATGATTGCGTAGTCCACGTGGGCATGCATGCCTCTGAGGGCCGCTGTATTCGAACTGACGTGCCGAGGAGGGCTCACTCATGCGTGGATAGATGGTATCAGTTGCCTGTGAGCGGGAGCGATGACAGGGCGGCGGTAGCGGCGTTGGTGTAGCGTCGCCCAGCGTCGGCCTGGCCAACGGCGGAGCTGCCAGAGTGGCATGGCCTCGCCGGCTTGGCCTGCGGCGGTGCGATCGAGAATTGTGCACGCCGCGCAGTCGGGGCTTGTCGGCGTGACGGCAATCCCGAGGAGATTAGGATCGGCGCAGCGTGCCGGAGCTGAGCGGGCAAGGATACGCGAGCGCCCGCCCTCGACGTTGTCGTCGTGGCGGACATCTGTTGGCTTGAGGCGGGAAAGTGCCACGTGGATTCTCCTTGGGGAATCGTTTGGGCGGCGGGGTCGATGTACCCCCGTGGTGGATGACGCCGAGCGGGCGTTGCCACCTGGCGGCTGCGATTGGCGGGAAAGAAAGCTGCCCACGTCGAAATGTCGGCTGAGTGTTCAACGTGTCAATGGCCGGCCCTCGGTGGATTGCGACGTTTGTGCCGCGCAATTAGTGGTCGGTAGCATTCCGATCGTCACGTCGCTGCCCACGTTCATCCCCACCACCACGTCATTGCCCACGTTTTTCGAGCAACTGTGGCGCTGCACGCCACGCCGGCCGCGATTGGTGGTTGCGGCAGCGGCGGGGGACGGGAGGAAGCGGGAGGCGGAGGCACAGCGGGGAGCTGTGACGCGTGGAGCGGGAAAGCGGGTGGAGGAGGGGGTAGCGCAACGTGCAAGGGGGGACTCGGCGAAGCTTGCAGCTCGGCAGGTTGGGGGAAGGAGCAAGGCGGGGGCGAAGCGGCACGAGCTGGCCGTGCAGCAGGAGGGTTTCATCGAGCTGGCTAAAGCGTGCGAGCTTGCCGCAGCCCCCCCCCCGCCCCCGCGCCCGCCCAAGGCGGAGACATCATCGAGGCCAAGGCGGCGGAAGGAAGGGATTTCACAAGTGGAGGGCGCCGAAGTCGCCAGAGCTTCTGGAAGGGGACCGACGAAGAGCAAGGGAGGCATTGGCGCTGTCTCCGGGAAAAAGGCGCGGGCAACGGTGGTGGCGGCGGAGCCCCGGAGGCGGAGGCAGAGCGCTGCGTCACGTGGGGGTGTAGGGACGACATTGGTGCTACAGCGACACCCGAAACAGGGGGAGGGGGGATTGCAGACCGCTCCGCCGCTTGCGAGTGTATTGAGCGAGCGGATGGAGCGGAAGCGAGTACAGCCGGCGGAGGATGGCGGCGTTCATGGCGGCGAGGTGAGTGGTAGGGTAGCAGAAGACGGGTGTGGGGACGTCATGGCGCCCTCGCGGGGTTCGGGAGGCGCCTCTTCCTTGCCCGCGCCATGTCCAAAGCAGGCGGAACCTCCACGGCCGCTGCAGGCGGAAGCTCCTCCGCCTACTGCAGTGGCGGAAATTATGTCTATCGTGGGGGCGAGGATGAAGAAGAGGAAGAAGCTGACGCCGGAGACGGAAGCGAGGCTGGAGCTCGATCTGTGGTCAAAGCAGGGGGATTTAGTGGGCGCACTGTCGTGTTACGATCGCGTGCGGGGTGAGGGCAAAGTCCCCATGCTGCAGTATCACTACAACGTGTTGCTTCATCTCTGCTCGTCGGCAGCCTCCGGTACGCTCCGAAGAGGCGGCCGCGATCGTAAGCGGCGGGAGATTGGGAAACTGGCGGCGACCGATCTGTCCCCCGGCAGTCCGGTCGCCGCGGTCAACGGCGTTGATGCTTCCGCCGCCGTCAGTCCCGATGCGGCGGGTAAGCTTAGCGCCAACGGCGGGGACGAGCGGTCATCCCGGGGGGCAGCCGAATCAAACGGCAAATGGCCGTCTGGTAATTGCGCGTCGGCGGAAGGCTTGTCCCCTTCTCCCGCATTGAGAGATTCGAGCGCTGGAAGTCCGTCAAGCGAGGGATCGCCATCTTCTTCTTCTTCTCCCTCTTCTTCTTCTTCTTCGTCCTCGTCGTTGTGGTCAATGGAGGCGGCGCAGGCGCCGGCGCAGGAAGCGGGGGCTGAGCATCATCCCGCCGTCTTGTCCCCGGACGAGCTGGCGAAATTGGGTATGGAGCGGGGATTTGAACTGTATAGTAGGATGCTAGACCAGGGCATCAAGCCCAATGAGGCGACGTTTACGTCGATGGCTAGACTGGCGGCGGCGAAAGGGGATGGCGCCATGGCCTTCGGGTTAATTAAGGAGATGGGGGAGGTTGGGATCGTGCCACGATTGCGGTCCTATCAGCCCGCTCTGAGCGCGTATTGCAACGAGGGGGCTTGTGAGAACGCGTGGGAGGTGTACGAGCATATGAACAGATGTGAAGTGGAACCTTCGGAGAATGATCTGAGCGCTCTTCTTGATGTCGCGGTCAGGGTAGGGGCAGGCGACAAGGTGTACGCAGTCCTACATAGATTAAGGACGTCGGTGAAGACTATAAGACCGGAGACAGCGGAGGTGGTGGAGCGATGGTTTAGGAGCGAGGGGGCGGCGGAAGCGGGCGGAAAGTGTGTAGAGCGGGCGGAGGAGGGGGAGGCGGTGAAGGCGAAGATGGAGGAAACGGGGGGAGGATGGCATGGACTCGGTTGGCTTGGGGAAGGAGAGTGGAGTGTGCGGAGGACGACTGTGAGCGAGGAGGGAGTGTGCGCCGCTTGCGGAGATCAGCTCGCGACCATTGATCTGGATCCCGTCGAGACGGCCAAGTTTGCTCAGGCCGTTGCTGACCTGGCAATGAAGAGAGAAAACAAGCCGAACGAATTCGTCCAGTTCCAGGTGAGAAAGAGAAATAACAAAATTATGGATATTCGAAAAAAGGGGGGTATGCAAGCGGGGACAGAACTGCGCCGGCGGAGCCCTCCCCCGCAATCGCGCGGGAGTCTGCTCAGTGCGGGCTGTGTAGTATTTTGCTCTCATTTGTTCATAATGAATGAACGAATCAAACCATCGCTCCTCATATTCTCCCATTTCGTATGCATCCCCCTGGGGGGAAGAGAGAGAGAGAGAGAGAGAGAGAGAGAGAGAGAGAGAGAGAGAGAGAGAGAGGGGGGGGGGGGGGGGAGGGGAGGGGTTTTCAAGTTGTTTTTTTAACCTGCAGGGAGGCTAAGCACATTCTCGCACTCTAGATGTAATTGCGGAAGGATACAAATGTGAGTGTGTGTGCCGTTAATCACAGAGGCTGCCGGCAATGGATTTGAACTCGCGACCTGTCCTCGCCATGAGATTAATGCTGACAATGTGGGCTGCAGCATTTGCTTCGAAGCCAGCCGCCGCCACATGGGCTTGGTGCAGCGTTCATTTCGGCTTGCTCGAGTTGTAGTCCTCGCTTCCGTCTTCCCCCGAACATAACGCACCCTGAAAATGAACGTATAAAATGTATGTCTCCGGCCCGATACAGTCAAAAAAATGGGGGTGCGTTTTGTTCGGTGGAAGACGGTAGTATGAGAAACATACAGTAAGTCTCTGGATGTACCTGAGTCCAGGGTACAGCCAGCTCTGTCAAGGGCATAGTACTTAATCTAGTAGTTTTCTGGAGGTTTCAGATCGGAATAAGAGGCTGACCTGGATGTATCGGATGTATCTGACCGCTAATACTGTATGTCTACAGCTCGGCCCAAAAAGTCTAAAGTGTGAAATGCTCTCGGATTGGCGAGAGGCCGAAGTACCTTTGCCCTCCTGGAACTAATGTGGGCAGTATTGAGGTTCACGTGCAGATTATGCATAATTATGCTCCTGCGCATGTGCAGAGCGTTGGTGGCATTGTACGTGGGCCTATTTTTGTCTCTTGTCGACCTCAGCTGAGTATCTGCATGGAGTTCATTTTGCTTTTTTTTTTTTTTGTTTTGTTTTAGGAATCGCGGATAACCACATTACTCGGCTCTACGTACTGCCTCCTATCCTACGCTACATATACATAATCTGCACGTGAACCTCAATACTGCCCACATTAGTTCCAGGAGGGCTAAGGTACTTCGGCCTCTCGCCAATCCGAGAGCATTCACACTTAAGACTTTTTGGGCCGAGCTCTAGACATACATTATCGTATGCCGACGTGGCATGAATTTGACGGCTATTTTGCGCTGACGTTGCGTGAATCTGACAGCTATTTGCGCTGACGTGGCATGAATCTGACGGCTATTTTGCGCTGACGTGGCATGAATCTGACGGCTATTTTGCGCTGACGTGGCATGAATCTGACAGCTATTTTATGCCGACATGGCATGAACTTGACGGCTATCCTGTGCCGACGAGGCATGAATCTGACGGCTATCTTGCGCTGATGTGGCATTGATCTGACACATCTTGTGCTGACGTGGCATGAATTTGACGGCTATCCTGTAGTGACGTAGCATGAGTCCGGCGGCTGTATATCTTGTGCGGACGTGGCATTAATCTGACAGCTATCTTATGGCATTAATCTGACAGCTATCTTATGCTGACGTGTCATGAATTTGGCGGTCACCCTGTGCTCATGTGTGAGGAATAAGACGGCTATTTCTGCTGACGTGGCATCAATCTGACAGCTATCTTGCGCTGATGTGGCAAGAAACTGACACATATCTTGTGCTGACGTGGCATGAGTCCGGCGGTTAGTATCTTGTGGTGACGTGTCGTCAATCTGAAGGCTATCTTCTGCTGACGTGGCATGAAGTTAACGGCTACCCTGTGCTGACGTGGGATGAATCTGACGGCTGTCCTGTGTCCTGTGCTGACGTGGCATGCATCTGACGGCTATCCTGTGTCCTGTGCAGTGGGGCTGTGTTGATACGTGGCATGGAATCTCAGCAGACCCTTAGGGCGTTTTCGCACTAGGACTTCTTTGGACGATTTTAATTCACTTTTTGGGCGGAATCTGCCCGTGATTAGAGTCAAATGCATCCAGGAATGTCCTCGAATGAGTATGCAGTGCGAGTTTATGCTGTGAACCTATTCTCGCTCGTTCGGCTAAGACATCCATGGACTTCGTTTCTCAACTTGGGATTGTGTTTTTACCCTACAAGCTTTTTTTGGGAGCGGGTGTGGGTCAAGGTCCGACTCGCCTGCATGTTCTTGAACCACTCGGAGGTGGGGGGTTTGAGAATGCCATGCGAGTATGCCCTGAATCCCCCCTTGCTGTGGGTCCAGATACGTCCAGCAACTCTTTTTTATCCGTTAAGCGATATGCAATGCTTTTACCCTACAGGCACTGAGGATTTGGTCTGGGTCAAGATCCCAACTTGCCTGGACTTAGTCGTTTCTGAACGTGAATCCTTGTGATCTGTGCGGGCAAAATGCGAAAAAAAGAGAACAAAACTAGGCTACCAGCCGGGCCGCCCGGGTCACCCTATTTTCCCGGACGGCCCGCCCGTGCAAGGACCAGGGAAGGTCCTAGCAAAAAAAATAAAAAATAAAAAAACTTATGTTATGCAGAAAAATAAACTGAACAACTTTTGCCTCAGGGTCACATCGAAATTCTTTACCAAATTGAAAATAA